TGTGTAAAAAAAATTAAATCAAATGTTTGAGACGCTACACATATTTAAATCTCACATTTTTCCAATAAACCTAAAATCAAAAGGAATTTAATTTAATACAAAAAATATACATCATTATATAATAATTAACAATAGAAAAGAAAACAAAAAAATTTAATCTAAAAAAAATTAACGTCACATATACCAAAACATATTGAGTAATATCCAAAATATATTGAAATAGAAATTACCATTTACCCATTTAATAGAAATAAATAATATATAATATAATTAATTAATTAATATATATATATATATACGGGGCAGGGCGGGGAGTGTGATACCCGTCCCCGTCCCCATCCCCGGTTTGAGCCAAACGGGGATCCCCGTCCCCGTCCCCGAGACCCGGTTTAACGGGGAATCCCCATCCCCGATCGGGACAGGTGGACCGGGTTCCCCGACGGATCGGGGCCAATTTCCATGCCTACCCTGCTCCCAAATGACTTCCATGACAACTACCCTTTCGTATTTTGGGTTATTTTAAATATCTCATTAACCAATTAATAGGTGTTAATTTTACAAACTTCAATGAACCAATAAGAAACAAAATATATTTTTGGTTGATGCACATGATGAATTTATTTAATGAAGGTAAACATGTATTTTTTTTATTTGATATTTTCTTAATGCAAATTAATTGTCAGTTACGTTTCTTAATTATTCAAATTAACTATTGGTTACATACATGAGTAAACACTTGTTCATAAGTGAACACTCTCGTTTCAACATTTTAAAAAATATTGGGTTCATATGTGAACCAAATTATCACACACGTAATGCAAAGTAGGTATGTACAGATTACCAATTATTTTGAAAAAAAATGAACAATGTTCAGAAGTAAACACATCAACATTGTTTATAAGCACAATTTGATGTTTGTTCATAAATGAACCAGATATCATTCCACATTTATTTCATATATGAACTAGACTATATAGTGCATGTGTTTTTTTAACATAAAACATGGACGTTACAAAAATCTTTATGATTTATTTCATACTCATCATGTTCATAAATATTTATTTATGTCTATAATTCATCTTATTCTAATTTATTATAAGAATGCGATAATAAATGTAAGATCATAAATTTTCAAGATGAAGGGTTAAGATTGATTCACAAAATTAACATCATTTATTAAGTTAACAAAAAAACCAACCCCCGTTACACACACACACACATATATATATATATATATATTATACACAATATTGATCGACATTTGTAATTTACATAATACATATTCATTTCTTGCCTTTTCTTATTGAATAAAAATAGTAATTTGGAAAATCGTGATATCTTTCGTTGCGTATATATATGCTCCATAAAATTATAAAAAGTGATAAGTATATTCAAAATATTTGTTGTATATAAATATTATATATTTCAAAAATAAAAATAAAACATTTTTTTCTTCTTAAAATGATGAATGCAACAATTGGCAACATTTTCCTATTCCACACGTACAAAATGATAGAAGTGACATTGCACTATTGAAGTATCTAAGAGGATAAGGATATTGACGAGCATATTATCCTGCTTAGATTTAAAAAGTAGTCAAAAATACCAAAACATGGTTATTAATTAAGTAGCTAAATCTCAATTAATTGATTTCTTAAAAACACACAATAAAATTAATTGAGATAAGATATATTGAATAAGTTGTGTTTTACATTTATCTCTGTTGTTATTACCTTTTTGTCTTTATCGATCAAGTGTATCCATGCCTCATTAACACTGACCCATAACCTCCCCATCCTAGTGGGAGCTGTAGATTTGCACACTTTCTGACATGTATGTAACACTCTATACATACACTAAAATATACGTATATACACATACGAGGCCCACTTTCTTATCATTACATATTTTGGATGTCAAATTATAAATTAAAAAGCATTTTCTACCGTGCTTTTTATCTTTTTATGTCAATTTAAGTTGAATGAGTTCCTCTCCACAAAAAAAAAACCATATTGAGCTTTGAAAAACTTTAGTAGACTCTGTAAAAAATTTAAGAATGAATATAAACACGTCATACATGTATATTTATTGATGGGACATTTTTCATTAAGATTTGACTTAATTGAAGTAATGTTTCTTAGGTATCACAATCTGATTCTCACTATTCATTTAACTCATTTGCTTGAGATATATAAGATGATTATTAATTTGTAATATGTAAAACCTAATAACGTAACTATGCTCATATGGTGAACCTAGAAATTTGACCTAAATGATGTCCACACTCTGAAACATCATTAATTAAGAGCTTTGGACTTGAATGCAACTTTTATGTGGCATACAAAGCTAGTGAGAAGTCCACATCTTTTACTAAAGACGTTTGTTCATGGTATGAGAATTTTGTGGCACAAAATTTAGAGAGGATTGAATGAAACCGATTTCTGATGCGAGTGAGGGAATCCTCTTATCTCACCATCAAAACACACCGTACACTAGTGAAATTTGGTGAGGATTTGGAGTAGAGAAAAAAGCTTGTGATGAAGGCCATAAGGCTGTTGAATTATAAGGTATGCTTTCTCTCTAAAGTTTGTGTTTTGTTGTGTCATTAATTAGTGATATGTGAAGGTTTGCGAAAGTCTAGAACAAGAATGGACTAGAGAGGAAGACCATAATGCCATTGAATTGATGAGAATAGTCAAATATGTGGAAGAATGGACTAGAGAGGAAGGCCATAAGGCCATTGAATTGATGAGAATAGTCAAATATGTGGATATGATGAGTGGTATGTAAATCCACAAATTAGAGCATGTAATTAATAATGATTTCTACGCATGATTAACGGTAGATGTTTGTGTTAGAATGGTTTCTTTTTGCATTCGGCCCCACAGCCACCCTATCTGACTTGATATGCGACATGGGTGAAGTTGTGTACGATGCCCCAAGTACGTGACATGGTGGTTATTAACAGAAAAACCATGATTTTTCGTATATATAATATATTATTGCTAGCTGATTAGTGATATATTTCTCTAGGGAAGACAATATCGGTAACAACAAAGAAAAGGACTTCCTAGCTACGTTGTAGACTTAGGGGTTGTTTGGTTCAGGCCAAGGAATGAAAATGAAAATGAGAATGAATTTTCAATCCTAAAGTCAAACAGTTTCTTTTATTTTCATTTATATTTATTACTGTTTAATAGCTCTAAACATACATCACATTTGTATCATGATATCTTATGTTATCCAATTTAATTTGGTTACTTAAAATTGTTAAGTTGATCGGTGAATCAATGATATTTTCTCAGTTGTCTAAATCATTTGCTGTTTAATTAAGTTTCAGTTATGTATCTTATTTAATTACGGTAAGTATTTAGACTTGGTATTGATGTTATTCATGACTAAATGCCAGATTAAGTTCAAACGTCACGATCGGTGTATATATATAAGGGCCTTCCTTGTAAAAACTCATTAATTTATGTGTATATATAGAGAGAGACAGATATAGACATATAAAGAGGGAGAGATACATACACATGTGTCTCTACATGAACAAATATCTATTTATGTGTGTATATATATATATATATATATATATATATGTGACGAATCTCATGTGAAGAAATCAGGAAAGTGCACTAAAGATGCCTCCCAACACAAAGAAAAAAGTTGGTCCATAGATCTCTACTTATTGTATGTTATTACTTATAGATAATTTTCCTGATAGAGGGCAAGAGAAAAAGAATTTAAATCCATGATCTAGCTAGCTTGTATTGCCATCTAGAAGATATATGCAAACATCACCAAGCTCGCCATGCAACTGTGTGTATATATGTGTGTGTATGTATATATATATATATATATAGTGTATATACACAGTATGTATGCTGAAAAAGGAAAAATGGGCCTTCTAAATACAACCTAACAATATTAATGAGACTTCATTTGCCCCAAAAATCTAAGCTAGTCTATATTTTGATTGGTGTAAAATGATTGATTAATTTTCGATTAAAGACAATGATAAAACATGATTAAACACAAACTACAATATATGATCGATAGAAAATGATCGTGTACGCATTTGAAGAGAGGATACGAGACTAGATTCTTCAAAATTTAAATGCAAAATTACCATGATCGTGTTCTAAAGAATTGCCACAAATTAATTCGAAAAAGGTCAATGTGTTACATACATGCACCATTAATGTTAATTAAGTTTGCAAAAGGAGAAAACTAAATTGTCTCAAAAAACGTAACTCCATAATTTAATTACGAGAGTTTACTGTGCCTAATGTGACATAAATGATATATCAATTAATTGATTCATCCCATCAGAGCCATATGATAGTATAAATATATTTATACGTATATAAGTATAGGCAAGATGTATTTGGAGAGAAATAAGGTAGTGTCGTCATCTTATCTAAAGTGATTGTTGTTCAAAATCTTGTCTATTATTTGTTGCCTCTTTCGGTAGAAACGAATGGGGGTTGAGATAAACATCATCACATAAGAGAGAGAGAGCCATGCTCTTAGACAGTATCACAATCAGCAAAGCTTTGGGGGGGATGCACTTAAAACTAGGTCCCCTCTCATGTGAATTCACCCATCCACTTGCTCAGCCTCATTCATCTCTCTATCTCTCTACATATATATATATATATATATATATATGCTTACATATTTCTGTATATATATCAGTGCATGTAGCATATATATATATATATATATATATACATGTTGTGTTATCCTTCAATAATTATATAATACAACAACTTGTAAATATAACAAGTCGCCATGAATCTTCCTGGTTCCTCACCATCTCTGAGTTGACCCACCTCACCTACATCTCTTCCGTATATTTTACGTATATCAACAAGCACGCACACACACACACATATTTATATCACCACTGGTAAAAACAAACAAGATTTTATTATTATTGTTATTTCATAATGCAATATAAATATTATTTGTGCACCATACACAAGAAGCTTTAGAAATCTTCCTATATATACTCAACCTTTCTCTTACACCCACTTCATAATAATCCTATTTCTCTCTCTCTCTAAACATCGATTCGAACCTCATTCTCCCTCTCGTTTCTCTCTCCAGCAATAAAGACTAATTGATAATGGATGGAAGTTGCACAGATGATCAAAGCACAACCACTGAAACAACTTCAACGGTTGCTGCACCTGTGACTACGCCGCCGCTGATCGGCAGTGGGGGAAGCGTGGTTCTTGACCTGGAAGGTGGTTTGGAAGCCGAGTCAAGGAAGCTGCCTTCATCAAGATTCAAAGGCGTAGTCCCACAACCTAACGGCCGTTGGGGTGCTCAGATTTATGAGAAACACCAGCGCGTGTGGCTTGGAACCTTCAACGAAGAACATGAAGCTGCCAAGGCGTATGATACCGCCGTTCAACGCTTTCGTGGCCGAGATGCCGTCACTAACTTTAAGCCGCTTCCAGCCGACACGGATGAAGCCGGGTTGGAAGCCAGTTTCTTGAATTCTCATTCCAAAGCTGAGATCGTTGATATGCTGAGAAAACACACTTACAATGACGAGCTGGAGCAAAGTAAGAGAAGCTGCAGCTTACACAAAACCCCTTTTACAGATGGGTTCAGATCGGGTCATCAGCTGGTCAACGCCCGGGAACAACTGTTTGAGAAGACCGTCACCCCCAGTGACGTCGGAAAACTAAACCGACTAGTGATACCAAAGCAGCACGCCGAGAAGCACTTCCCGTTGCAAAACGGAAGCACTTCCAAAGGAGTACTTTTACATTTCGAAGACATTGGGATGAAAGTGTGGAGATTTCGTTACTCATACTGGAACAGTAGCCAGAGCTACGTGTTGACCAAAGGGTGGAGCCGGTTCGTGAAAGAAAAGAACTTAAAGGCCGGTGACATTGTGAGCTTTCAGAGATCCACCGGTCCAGACAAGCAACTTTACATCGATTGGAAGGTCAAAAATGGGTCAGGTAATACCAATCAAAAACCAGTTCACCCGGTCCAGATGTTTAGGCTGTTTGGAGTCAATATATTCAGTGCAACTACTCATGGGGTTGATAGCACTTGCAATGGCAAGAGAAGTAACATAGAAATGGAGTTGTTGGGGTTAGGAAACTGTAAGAAACAAAGAATTATCGACCCTTTGTAACAATTTCTCTTTCTTTGGGGGTGTGTTTGATAATATTTTGGAGTACTCTTTTCTAGAGATGATGATGAGGAATGGAGCTGGAAAGTGGTGGGAATGGAATAGGAGGGGGTGCAAGTTGCAAAAGTTTGTATATTTATTTTAGAAACTGAAAAGATAATTGAGCTAAAGAAAGCTCAATGTAGGGATCAAGTTGAACAGTTGTAAAAAAACCCCAAGAAAAATAGAAATTTTTTGTTTTCCAAAACTTATCATCTCAATTGTGTCCTTGACTAACTTTCGTATTTGAATACATTATTGTTTGTACCATAACTTATTCATTAACAATAACAGTTGTATACGATATCTGTGACCTTCTGTCCACTGATTTGATCATACTTGTAGTGTTCTCTCTGTGTGATCTTATAGTCTACATACAGTCATGTATGTATGTGATTATGTACATGTGATGTAATAAAGAAATAATTTCTTCAAGAACCTTTCCAGTTTTGGTTGAAATATTTTTTGTAGTACTTTCTTGTTTGAGCATAACTACTGTGCAAATATCTCCTTATGTTGACAAGTCCGACACACTAGCTTAGCACACACACAGAGATCAGGTTGTACAGCACGGTACAAGTATTCTTATGCTATGGTCATTATAATTCATCACAACTTACTTGGGGAAAAAAATTCACCTTTTCCTGCTAAGATACTATAGTTTTACCTCTTTTAGAATAAAGGGTTGTGTGGTTGCAATACTCTCATTTAATTTTGGAACTGTTTGAAAGTGTTAACTCTTGGCTTAAATTTTCTGGTTATTCAGGAAATTCTGAGAGTTTTAACCTTTTCTAATGAATATGGCTTTTTAGGTTTATGTATTGTCTTTTCTTTTAGATATTTAATTTGGTAATGTTGAATGTATATTACACAAATGTTTGATTATTTGTACTTTAGTTGAAATATACGGTTGGGACCATTACATACATATATATATATATACATATATATATATATATATATATATATATTCAGTTCTCTTGTGGTTTAGTTTTGGGCATCATATATATTATATAAAAGAAAGTTAAAGATTGTAATGGGGTAAGGTAATAGAGTACAAATCATATAGAGTAAGGGTCTTTTTCCAAATGAAGAAAAAAGACATGTACATACAAGCAAATCAGATACGATATGATGCTGTCAATCTAGGGTACATGAGATATTTGAATAGTTCTTGGTCTCTACAACCCTAAGATCATATGCTATTTCCAGAAAGATATCACAAAAGATACCATCCTAGTACTTAATTAGATATATATAATTAATCTCGCTTATATACATCGAATCTATACATGTTAGTTTCTCTTCTATAATGAACTCGATCATAAGTTGATATATCCCAGTCCCAGATATATAATTTATATTTTACAGATTATATATGTACTTGAAGTCTCAACCATTTAGGTAAATTCAACTGATTACAATTATTAGAATGATTCATATCTAATTAACCATTATATATCAAGATTATATATAAATGATCTATAATCTTAGGTGGACGGCAAGAAAAGTCTGAGATAGGTACAAGCTTTCATGGCTATAGAGTGGGGCTACTGTTCTCCTGTGATGAATTGATCTGGGGTTACGATTAACCTGCTTAATTCAGCTATGAAAAACAAGTTATAATGTTGAAAATATATATATATGTATTTTTATAGTCAAGTAGTTTGATGAATGTTGTGGATCCTTGATGTTTTCCAATGGCTTGTTCCTGCCCAACAGAATACTGCTGGCTAGCTACTAGGAATTTAATATTGGTTAACTATATAAATTAATAAAAACTGATGACCCATTGTTTTTTAGTATTAGTTATTATTGAAAATGATATCAAGAAAGATACATAGCCATTTTTGCACATGAGAATTCTAATGATGGGTTTATATATGGAATTGGATGCTCATGGCAGATGCATGTACTGATGATGGCTTACAACAAGGGAAATCGAATTTAAGAACATAGAGAATCGCACATAGTAAATGAAAAGCACGAGAAAGTACCTATGTAAAACCCGTGATGATAAGATTGCATTTTTTTTTACATATTTAAACAAATCGGTTTATTATTTAGTTACAAGATTACGTTATTATAATACAATTATCACTAATCAATTGTTTATAGTGAAAAGGATTTAATATAATTAAGATATTCTTGTTTTTTTATATTTTTTGGTTGACGCAACCATAATGGATTTATCTGCTAGTGAATTTATCAAACTGCTTTGTCAAGTCATTTTCATTAACTTCTTGCTTTATTTTCCACACACCATTAGATTAGTTTAGTTGACTTCATAAAAACTAATATATCCTTTTAAGAATTTTATTAAACCTTCCATTCTAACAATATGTTCGAGACATTTCAAGGATCATCGTTCGTCTAGCCGACTAAATCAAGAACCGAAAACTTCTATTTTCTGTTGGCATGTTATCATATTCCGTAGTAACTCATTGGTTAACAACTCTAACATTTAAGCATAGAGTTCAAACTCTAGACCCATATCATAGAACAAAAATACTAAAACCCCTTGAATAAGTTCAATTGGGTCTGCACACATTCGGTGGTCTTCAAGACAGAAGTTCAACCAATAAACCATGTCCTGGGTATGTATATTTGAATATTGAGATCAAAACATGTCAATTATATATCATATTACCAGTCAAAAACCAATGCCATATTTTGTCCTTCCTACACGTTAAGAACTACGTACTAGCTTTCTAGATTAGGCAAATCAACAGAATTTTACACTTTCCTACCTGTTTCTCATATGTATTGACAGATTTCATCTTGTATGGCGGTCGAATGCATAGCCATAGCTAGCTTAGCCACTTGTTCTTTTAAAAACCCTAGTGGAAATATTTATAAATTTAAACGTTTCTAGAAACAGAAAGGGTCACACTACAAAAGAGAGGAGTCATTTACAGACTACTATTAGGATTGAAATTTGAATAACAATTTTAATGACACATCGTTAATCAAGAAAATCATTGCTATTCTTAATTTGCTTAAATTGTTAACGGTTTTCTCAAAGTAATCTAAAGATTCTTGACTTAGATCATACATTTATGTATTGTTAAGTTAAGTGAATTACTATTTACTACCCTCAAATCCTTGTAGAAAACTAAGAAAAATCTCCCATCAAATTAATGAGAGATGAAAAGTTTGACTTTTAGAAATTCAAAAGTCAAGGTGTTTAGCTAATGTTGACAAAATTAGAGTCAAATTTGGACTATTCAACTCATTTTTTTCACCGTATTTTCTTCCTAAGTTCCAAAAAGCTGGCAATTTGCCAACTTTCAATTCTTTTGCTTTAAGTAGCACGTTTAAGGTGTACGACTTTGGACCACAGAATAAATTTTAGAGTAAGTTACAGACTTGGTCCCTGAGGTTTGTGATTTATTATGGAATTGATCATTTATTTTCATCTATTATATGATAAACTTCTACCTATGTAATTTGTTATGGATTTGGTCCCTCACGCTAACGGTCATCCACTTTCTCGGCTAAACTCAAGGCATCATGGTCTTTTTACCGTTATTTCTTTTACTTTACCGTTATATATAATTTTTCTTGAACACTTCTAAAACCCTAACTATAAAGAACATCAAGGACATTTAACAACAAAATCATACAAAATCAAACGAAAACCGACATAAAATTAAGGAAATCATTATTATATCAAGACATGAACATAAATGACAATTCTTGTAACAATTTTATTACAAAACTTTATCATACAAGGCCCAAATTAAACACCAAAATCCAAACCCGACTCAAATCCTAATTAAAACCCTAATTAGAAAAAAACCTGAATAAACACCAAAATCAGAATGGGGGCAGACCTAGCTGAAGTTATAGGTTGAAAAAATAGATCAGAATCCTAAGTAAATCAAGTGCAAATAGCATAGAAACATCAAGGAAAATAACACTGGTTGGGGGAGGAGAGTTTGACGATGGTAAGTAGAAACAGAAGCAGTTCAACAATAGGGAGGGGAGTCCAACAATGGGAAAACACGTTGGTTGGGGGAGGGGAGATTGGTGGTGTTCTTCTCTGTATTTTGTTCTAAGGAAGATGGTGAGCAATCTCGTATGAACTCAAAACCCGGATTTGCAACAACAACAAAAAAAGAACCCTAAATCTGCAAATCCTTAGCCTTAACTTGAATCTTGAATCCATTATTAACTATAGTGGATGGGGGTTGTGGGAGATGAAGGTGGTCACGCTGGGATCTGGTCGTCGAATCTTGTCGCTGAAATAAGATTGGTCGACGTTAGAGAGAGAAGGGGCTAGAGCCTGCATGTTTTTCAGGGTGGAGAACAATGAACTGCTATATGTATGTATCATATAATTAATTAATTATAATACATAAAACATAATCAAATAATCATAAAATAAAGAAAAAAATTTAAACTGATAATTTAGTCAATGCACTTAATGGAAGTAATAGATGAACGTTAGAGATATGGATCAAATCCTAGACAAATTGCATAGGTAGAGGTTTATTATGTAATAAAGGAAGATAAACGAGACCAGATTCATAAAAAATTACAAACGATAGGGATCAAAACCGTAATTTACTCTAGATTTTAGTATCCCAAGAGTAGCATACATAATGAAGTAGCTAGGTGGTCATTTAACAAATACAAGTAGAGAGGGTAGTTATCACTTGGAGCTACCCCTTTTATGGAATAAGTTACCAACACGAGATTAATTAACATGAACCTCGTAGTTGATGAAAATACACCGACTGCCTTCTTAGTTGGCTTGTAACAAAGTTACAAAAAGAAGAAAAATAATATGTATTAAGAAGTGACAGGAATATGGGATTTCTAACAATTCAATGATTGAACTAAATATTACAATTGTAGCTTAATGATTAATCAAATAACAATATGTGATCATTGATATATGAATGTTACGTAAAATAACATCAAGAATAATGATATATATATATATATATATATATATCAATGTTGAAAAAGGCATACATATATATAGCGTAAGACGCGTCTCCTTCATTATAGTAAGACTTATAACGTTTTTATAAGGCATGGCTCATGCTATGACGCGTTGCAGTGTGCGTCTTTTACATGCGACCTTTTTAAAGAAATTATTTATAAAAAAAAATTAGCTTTCGTGTTTTACAATTTTAACTTTAAGTTTTACATTTTTATATATTTATCTAATCATAACAATCACATTTTCACGAATTCATATATGTGATGAATTCACAATTAAAATGAAGTTATCAATTCATATTTAAATTCTAAAAAATAATTAAAAGGTAAAATCAGTGTTATTAATACAAACAGAATTGACACTAAATTTGCATATTAAAATGAGTAATAATTATAATTCATGTAAAATACATATGTGATAATTTAAAAACATATTAAACACTTAAAATTTATTAACTTTTAAAAAGAAGTATTCCTGCTTA